CAGTCCAAAGATTCTCTCATCTGTCTCACAACCGTCTGAAGGACAGAGACTGAGACTCTGAGTATCACAAGGGATTTGGTTTAGGGGTTCAGGCCTAGCTGAGGTGGATGTTTGGTAAGTGACTGTTTGCAGGTGGTTGCACGGTGCACTGTGCCCCCCACACAATGGAATTCATCACAATGATCATCAATCTCCTCTGGTTTTGGCCCTGTGCCCCTTGCTTTGTAAAAACTATAAAATTACACCCCAAATTTACCTTCCTTTGAGATCTCCCCAACAGACAGAAGACTCTGCATCGTCGGACGGCTGAGTGGACTTTGATGTTGGTAGCTGTAATCCCCTTACTCTCTTTTCTTATGCTTTGCTTTCTCCTCTTTTCTCTCTATCGCATATTAGTGCTGATGAGCACTCAATAAAGTGTGTTTTGCTGTTTAAGTCCTTGGTTTGCTGATAATCTTTTGTACTCTAAGACCGACTAAAAGAACCACATCAGGAATCCCACCTTGTGGATCGTGACAACTGTACACTCATTCCTGCCCCAAGCACCTTTCAAAATGTCTCTCTTCATTTCTCCCCCACGTCCCAGCTCCCTGGAGAGGAAGCTAACCTCAGTACAGGTAGTTCAAAGGAAAGTGCGTGTAGAGCAAGGACAGACAAAGCAGAAAAAGCTTATTGTTGTGAAAATAAAATAGAAACAGAGCAGGGGAGGCCAGATGAAAGCTCAAGATATCACAGTTGCAACACAAGGTTCCAGGCCAAGAAGATTCAGAATGAAAAGGAGAGAGCTGAAAAACTATTTCCCTTGAGGGAAGTACTGATGGGAGATGCTCAAGGGGGAATAGGTTTTGTTAATGTTCAATTAACTGCCTCCGAGGTAAGAAATTTTAGGAAGGAAATCAAAAATTTATTGGAGGACCCAACTGGAATATCAAATCAATTAGATCAATTTTTAGGCCCAAGTATATTCACTTGGGAAGAATTAAATTCGATACTAGGTGTGCTCTTCTGTTCAGAAGAGACAGGGTTGATTTGAGGCTGCCAGGAGAATCTGGGAACAGGAAAATTGGGCAGGCCCAAGGGGAAAAGAAAAGGCACCGCTCATCCAGTCAAATTGGGACCCAAATGAGTCCAAAAGAAGGAACATGAGAGATTACAGGACACTGATAATAAGAGGAATAAGGGAGGCGTTACCAAGAGCCAACAACGCTAAACTAGCGTTTGACAGCCAGCAAGAGAAAGATGAATCCCCTAGTACTTGGCTCGAGAGATTAAAAAGACATTTCCAACTTCCTTCTAGCATGGACCCAGAAAGTCCAGAAGGCCAAGTGTTAGTGCAAGTTCAATTTGTAAGTAAGGGTTGGACTGATACCATTAGAAAGCAAGAGAAGTTAGATGACTGGCAGGAGAAAGGTCTAAATGAATTGTTGAAGGAAGCGCAGAGAGTGTACTTAAGGAGGGAACAGGAAAAGACAAAATCAAAGGTTAAAATTATGGTAGCAGTGGCAAAGGGAAGCCTAAGAGCTGGGAAAAGTGAGTTGGCGGGAGCAGGAGGTAGTGGACCGTAAGAAGGGGTAGAAGAGAGGAGAGATTCAGACAAGGATGGAAGAATCCCATTGGTAGACGTGATTTGTTTCTATTGCAACAAGAAAGGTCATAGCAGGAGAGTCTGTAAGAAAAGAAGAATAGATGAGGTAATAGCAAAGGAGCAGGATGTACTGGAAAAGATCTTAAAAGGTGAAGATTAGAGGTGTGAGAGGCTCTGTGCTCTGGGGAATGAAATAGGACACCAAAGAGAGCCTCTGGCAAATTTGGAAGTAGGCCCCCAGAGCAAAGAATATGAAGTTTTGGTAGATACTGGAGCTGATAAATCAAGTGTATCAGAAGGACCCAAAGGTTGTAAGCTGAGTAACCAAAAGTGCAAAGTGAGAGGTGCTGAGAACAATCCCTTTGATGCTTTTATTGTAGAGAAATTGTCAATAAAAGGAAATTTTAGAGAAGGATGTGCAGACTTGTTGTTTATACTAGGGCTAGAGTGCAATCTATTAGGTCGGGACCTCCAGGTACAAATAAATATAGGGGTGGTGCCAGAAGGGGGATGCGTGGTTGTAAGACTGTTAGTGCTGAAGGAGGAGGATGAGAAAGGAATAAATCCAAAGGTGTGGGCAGAGACAGGAAATCACAGATTATTAATCATTCCCCCCCTAAAAATGAAAATAAAACTAGATACACCTCCTATAAGACTTAAGCAATATCCCATTTTGGCAGAGGGCAGACAAGGATTAGCACCTATAATTAAAGAACTGATTAAAAATGGAATTTTGGAACCATGCATGTCTCCACATAATACTCCTATACTACCCATTCAGAAGGCAGATGGCAGGTACAGATGAGTGCAAGATCTAAGGGAGGTGAGCAAACAAACCATTACACGTAATCCGGTCGTGGCTAATCCATACAACCTATTAAATAAAGTACCATCAAATCATGCCTGGTTCAGTGTGATAGATTTGAAAGATGCCTTCTGGTCTTGTCCATTAGAGAAGGAGAGTCGGGGGTTGTTTGCTTTCAAATGGCAGGATGAGGAAACTGGGAGGAGACAACAATTGCAATGGACCAGATTACCTCAGGGATTTACAGAGTTCCCCCATCTATTTGGCCAGGCCCTGGAAGAAATTATGAAGGAGTTTACACCAAGTGGGGAAACACAAGTCTTGCAATATGTGGATGATTTATTGGTTTTGGGAAAAATGAAGGAAGAGGTTCAAGAAGCAACTGTTAATTTATTGAACTGTCAGGGAGAAAAGGGTTTGAAAGTATCCAAAAAGAAATTACAGTTTGTAGAATCTGAAGTATTTGGGTCATTTAATTGGAGAAAGTTACAAGAAGTTAGATTCAAATTGGATACAGGGAATATTATTACTACCAGCACCAAAAGCCAAAACAGATATAAGGAAATTATTAGGATTAATTGGATATTGTAAGTTACGGATAGATGGGCATACAAAATTATTCAAATTTTTACATGAAAACTTAGTAGGGAATGATCCCATAAATTGGAACAAAGAGAACAAGAGAAAGTTAATGGAATTGAAAGAGAAATTTGTGACAGCTCCAGTGTTAAGCCTACCCAATTTAAACCAATTCTTTGAACTGTTTGTAAATATTGAAGAAGGAGTAGCTTATGGCGTCATTGTGCAAGAATGGTATGGAGTCAGAAACCCATAGCATACGTGTCCGAGTTGTTCGACCCAGTTGTAAGAGGATGGCTGACCTGCCTGCAAGCTGTTGCTGCTACTGTAACCCTAGTGGAGAAAAGCTATAATTTAACATTTGGAAACAAAGTTAAAGTGTATACCCCACATGATCTTAAAAGCATACTGAGTAAAAGGGCTAGTCAGTGGGTCCCAGAGAGCAGGCTTTTAAAATGCGAACTCATCCTGAGGAATAAGGAAAATTTGGAGTTAGCTACCACGAAGGTTCAAAATCCAGCCCAGTTCCTATATGGGGAACCAGAGGGGGAGCTAGAACATTGGTGCCTTGGAGTTATTGACCTGCAGACAAAAGTTAGTGAGGATCTGCAAGGGCACCCATTAACTGAAGGAGAGGTCCTTTTTATAGACGGTTCATCAAGGGTCATAAATGGGAAGCAGGTATTGGGATATGCAGTTGTAAACAGACAAGACGTGACAGTTATCAAGGAGGGAAAACTTCCTATGACACGGTCTGAGCAGTGTTGTGAAATTTACGCATTGTTGAGAGGATTGCAATGGCTCAGTCAAAAGAGCAGAACCATCTACATGGACTCCAAATACGCCTGTGGGGTAGTACACACGTTCAGAAAGATTGGGATTGAGAGGGGTTTTATAAACTCAAAGGGGAAAGCATTGATGCATAAGGGCCTAATTAAAGCAGTATTAGAGGCTCTGAAAGGACTTTAGGAAGTGGTAGCAGTGCATGTAAAAGGATACCAGAAGGGAGACTCAGTGGAGTTCAAAGGGAACCACTTAGCAGATCAAATAGCAAAGAAAGCTGCTCTGGGCAGTATTGAGAAAGTCTTTAGAATAATAGATCTAAAAGGCAGAGATGATGGAGATGAAAAGGATGGAGAAGATCCCGTATTTAATGAAAAAGAATTGAGGGATTACAAAAACATGGTGCTAATAAAGATTAGCAGAAGGAAATGGAGAATGCCTGATGGCAGACAAGTGATGAATAAAGCACTAAGTAGGAAAATATTAGAAAATCTACATGCTTCAAGCCATTGGGGAACCCAAGCCCTTTGTGATCATTCTATGAAAACTTATGTTTGTATTAGAATGTTTGAAATTGCAACAGTGCTGACCCAAAATTGTATGATTTGCCAATGAATAAATAAGAAAGTTATGTGAAAATTGCCTCAAGGAGGAAGAGGATTGGCTAGGAGACCCTTTCAAAACGTACAAATTGATTTCACAGTTACCTCAAATACAAAGGTTTAAATACCTATTAGTCATAGTGGATCATCTAACCCATTGGGTTGAAGCATATCCAGCTACCAAGGCGACAGCAGAGGTGGTCAGTAAGATTCTATTAGAAAAGATTATACCAAGATATGGAATAGTCAATACCGTCGATTGGGATAGAGGCCCACATTTTATTGCAAGAATTTTACAGCAAACAACAAATGCATTGAACATCACCTGGAAGCTCCATACCCCTTGGAGACAACAAAGCTCAGAAAGGGTCGACAGGGTGAACCAAACAGGAAAGGTGGCCCTTACAAAGTTAGTTGAGGAGATGAAAATGAATTGGCTGAGGTGTCTTCCCTTAGCTCTAATGAGATTAAACCTAGGATGGACTTAGGGATTCGCCCCTTTACGAGATGACGCTTGGTTTACCCTTCTTAACTACCCCAGGTAATAATGGAAACTATGAGGAAGGAGAGCAGAGCATAAGAAAGTATATCCAAACTATAGCCAGCACCTTAGAGGAATTAAGACAGAAAGGATATCTCCCTCAGAGGTCACCTATCAATTTTAAAATCTATAAGTACCAACCAAGGGACTGGGTTTTGATTAAAACCTGGAAAGAGCAACCATTAATTCCAAAGTGGGAAGGTCCATTTCAGGTCCTGTTAATCACAGAAACAGCTGTTCCCACACAGGAGAAGGGATGGACACACGTTTCAAGGGTAAAAGGACCTGTCCCTGCTCCTACGCAGCAACCCTCCGATTCCACCGAACGGACCTCGATCAAAGAAACGGACACTAAGCTGGTTTTGAAGAAGAAACAGTCTGAACCATCAGGAGGAATGGAATAACAGATCATCATTGCTAGATTTGAACCATAAGCTGCAATGATGTTTAATGAGCTATCCTAGCTTATTTAAAAGGTATTGACTTATTTAACTGTATAACTTTTAAAACCTCAGGTGATTTAAATGCTTTTAGTGTTACTAACTATAAGATGTTGTATAAAAATATGTTCTTAACTTCTGATCTTCCTTGTTACAGATCCAAAGAGTCTGGAAAGAGGATAGAGCATTCTTCCATGCACTTAGCAATCAGGCTACAAAAGGAGGAACGAGACAAGTGAATACAAGAGGGGAGTGAGCTCCTGCAACAGAAAAAGAAGTAGTAGCCAATAAAGAAGTATTGCACGGAGGAAGACCAGGTCAGGAAGCACTTTTGCCACAGAGTCACAGAACCTTCAGAAAGGTAAAGGATATGGGTGGAAAAGTGTCCTGTACCGGACCCCCGTTAATATCAGCCCTCCTATTAATGAATAGCTGGCAAGGAGAGACTGTGTTGTGTGATAGATGCTACTGCCCCCTGTATGCAGGAGACTCGTGGATTGCCGTCCTCAGAACACATTCTAATCTGAACCCCTCCTGTATCAACTTTTCACAAATAACCACCTGTCTTGAGGACAGCAACACGTATTGGCTTTCTGAAAACACAGAGAATTTTAAACAGAAACTATTGGGAGAATGCCCTGTCAAGGAAAAATGGATCTGCTCAGGGAAAAAATCTATTGAATGGGGGGCGAAAGGTGGGGGATCCGAGCCAGATATAATTAAGGAAAAAGAAATAAAAGGGGTAATCAAAAGGGGTCCGGAAATTCAGGTGACGAGAGGCAAGGATTTATTTCTAGATTTGGTAGAGAAAATAAGCCGTGAATTTAATATCAGTAAGTGTTGGATTTGTGGGGACAAGCAACTGGAGGAAATTTGGCTGTGGGAGGGAATTCCGCTGAGCTCACAGAATTTACTAAGGCTACAGGAGAAAGGAGAACCTGGAGCTGATACAAGACCCGAGGAAGAAATATGGAATTTGAAGTCACAGGTAATTGGTGAGGAATGCTTATGGAGGAGAGGTCCCAGTTACATCACTTAGGTGATGGTGAGCTCCATCATAAGCGATACTTTGCATCCAATAATATGCATCAGTGGTGGATCCCTCAGGCACCAGAGTTGTATTGGTCTAAGAAACAAAAACAAGGACGTTCGTACATTGAAAAGGAAAAATTATATGAGTGCATTACTAGGGGGGCTAACCCTTTTCTAGACAAACCCCGACTTTCAAAATTTTGGACAAGAAATGGCCTTAAAGTAGCAAGAGCACCCCAACATTGGGGAGCCCCAAAAGGCCTCTTTTGGATCTGTGGGAAGACAACGTATGTAATGCTCCCCCAAAGTTGGGTGGGAAGTTGCACTTTGGGCATTATTAAGCGCACATTCTTCCTCCTTCCACAAATTAGTGGACCACATCTGGGGGTACCCCTTTACTATGAGTTAAAAAGAAAAAGGAGACAGATACTGACAGGGGGAGCCCAAAGATGGGGGGAGGACGAATGGCCACCTGAGCAGATTGTAGCAACATATGGCCCTGCCACTTGGGCCCAAGATGTGTCATGGGGTTACAGAACACCTATTTACATCTTGAACTGCATAATTCTCCTACAGGCATTGATAGAAATAATTTCAAATCAATCCTCCCTAGCTATTGATTTGATTTCAGCACAATCCAGGCAGATGAGAACAATGATTTATCAAAACTGCTTAGCATTAGATTGTTGACAAGCTGAAGAGGGAGGGGTATGTGGAAAATTCAGCTCATCTGAACGCTGTGTCGAGATAGACAACCATAGTGAAATCATTAGAAACATTACAGCCAATGTCTGGAAACTAGCTCATGTTCCTGTGCAGAAATGGACCCCATTTTTCCAAGCTAAGTGCTGGGATAATATCTGGAATGGTGTCTGGTGGACAAAGGTGTTGTTAATTGCTGGTGGGTCACTAATAAGTCTTACTCTTTTTCCTTGTATGGTTCCCTGTCTAATCCAAACCATACACTACAGACCCTCACAGGATCACCAGGGTGGGCAGGGACAAAGCAGGCAATCTGCTTCATTGTGAACCACAACAGAGCTACATCCCAATGTGGGTTTAAGTAGCACGGTATTATCAAGAGCTCCTTTCCTGCAGGAGATACAAAAAGGAGGTACCAAATGATCTTCTTGCGAGCATGCACTAAAGAACTGATCCTGCTACCCTAATGAAGCTTTGGCTTTGGCAATTACACTCTTCCCATTCATCTTTTGACACAGACACTTCAGGTCTTCCCCCACACTCCTGCAATGCAGAGCTGGCAGTCACTGTTTCCCATTTACTGTTCTTCCCTAGATCCAGTATAGCAGTTGCTTTGAAACAAAAATCCCTGAGAGCTGGATATCTTGAAGGAGCATGAAATGCTAATTAGGAGTTCATCTTGGTAGCTACCCAGATCTTCACTTCCCAGTACTCTGAAGCACCATCGGGGGGACCATGCATCATTCCCATTTGTGGATGTTCATGTTTGTGGTGTGCCATGCATCATTCCCATTTGTGGATGTTCATGTTTGTGGTGTGCAAGAGCAATGGCTTTGAGGGGGGACAAAAATGCCCCTATTCAAACTGAGTGTGCAAGGAGATGTGAAGTTCCACTGCTTTTCTAAGATATTTTAGAACGATCTAAGAGAATACTGCAGCATGGAGTGGGTCCCTCATTTTCTCTCCAGAGGAATCCCCAAAGGGCACATTCACTCTGCTGATGATGGCAACCCCATAAGCTCACAGAGTAGTTTTCCCTGCAACATGCCACCCTGCCTGGGCTTTACTAGGCCAGAACTAGACCCAAAGTTAGGCAACCACATGCAGCCATGTAACATGGAGTTTTTGCTTCAGAAAACCTAATTATCACGTTCACATGCATTTTCACCTGTAACATCAGAAGCTGGCAACCATGAGGACTTTGCTGTCAAAAGGTTCCAGTTTGCACTGGGCCAAGAAGTGGTTTTCCCAAAGGCAACCTAAGTAGAAATGTGAAGTGTAAAAGCCTCAAATGAATACAAAAGGAAGCAGTGAAAAAAAATCCTGGAAAGGTAGCACTGTTGATGAACATGCTGCCCACCGAGAGCTGGAGCTGAACCCAGGATTGCATGTTCCAGCTATGCAGGAATTCATTATGTTGGCAAGCACAGGTCCATGGTAACAAATGATCCCATACCCCTAGGCTAAATGGCACCCAGGTTGGAGTGTAGCTAGATTTGAGGAACCCTTGTCACCTGTTGAGCTCACAGTCTTCTGCAAACAAGTTACAAACAACACATTTGACTGATGTCCTGGATAAATGTACATATAGCTGACTTTTCCAAAGCTGTGCATCTTTTCCAGGGAAATACTCAACCACTCCTTACCTATGAAATTGTGACTGAAGACACCTCTGAGCCAGATCAGCGTGAGATTGCAAAGGGGCAAAGCTTTGGGATTTGGGCACACTTCACTTTGTTTCTTTGCTGGGGCCTTTTGTGAGCACAGAATACATGTAGGTAGAAAACTTTTGACTATACAGGATCTTCTGGGTCTATTGTCCCCCAAACATGCCACTGGGTGGCCTCGTAATGCCAGGTCATGAAAAGCAGCACAAATGACACAAAGAAAACCTGGCAAAAGAGGAAGAGGAGAGGCCCAGCAAGGAAAAAATGATCTGAGACATTGGGATATCAAGTAAGATGTACTCCCATAACCTCAGCACATCTCCCCTAGGCTAGCAGGTCCTAGTTTCACATTCTCTGCTTGTTTGTCAAAAATTTAGTTTATTTAAATTTAAAGAAAAAACATAGCTACAAAAATAAATATAAACAATTAAAATATATCATCACAATTTAATAAATACAATCAAAACACATTTATTCCTACGTAGATCAAAATATCAGAACATATGTACAGCTGTAACTATAAAGCCTAACACATAAATCCTATTCTTCAATCACTCTTAGGAGACGCAGAAGCTTCTTCCGGAGCTCCGAGGAAAGAGGGCACTTCAGGATGGGAGGCAAGGACTTTGTGGATAAGGACACACATGAAGGATGCAGAGAAAACTTCTTGGCAAGAGAGGAGCCTGTCAGATATGCAAAATGGAAACACAAAGTGTAACAGAGACTGCAGTACAAACCTAAAGCCTCTGAAGCTCCAAATTCCATGGGGCACATTTCCTGCAAACTTCTAAATAGCTGCACAGGGAAACATGCTCCTGCCTGCAGCCACTTGAGGCAGGCCAGAGGAC